CAATATGACAAGAAAAGATCTCGTTATTACGAGATAAAGATCTCGTTATAACGAGATAAAGATCTCGTTATAACGCGAAAAGATCTCGTTATTATTATTGATTTGATTGCGTTTTATTTCCATCTTGGGTTAAGACATTGGGAAATATTAGTGTCTTTGAGTAACATAGATGGTATAGATGGTAATATCATGAGCATGTCAACTTTGCGCAGGCATCTGAAGGCGTTAAGGTTGTTCAGACGGAAAGAACACTCTGACCTACTTGACATTGCGTTCTTCCTCCAGGATCAGTTGAATATCATTTAATGAGTCTCATTAAATGATAAAAAGCCATTGATAAGATGCCATTCTAGTAATCTTTATCCCGTAATAACGAGATCTTTTCTTGTTATAACGAGATCTTTATCTCGTAATAACGAGTCGTTATAACGAGATCTTTTCTCATAATAACGAGATCTTTTCTCGTTATAACGAGATCTTTTCTCGTAATAACAAGATCTTTTCTCATTATAACGAGATCTTTTCTCATAATAACAAGATCTTTTCTCGTTATAACGAGATCTTTATCTCGAAATAACAAGAAACCAGGCAAAAAAAAAATTCTCCACATGAATGCAATACGTTTCCGTAGACATCAGTATGAATTGTGGACTTTTTACTGACCGGCAGTTATACAAAGGGAGCCACCAGTCACGTCAAAGATCTGGAGAAGGTGGCTATTTGCCGTTTCGTTCACTGCTTGGAGAGTGAAGAGGGAAATTCGTTTAACAAATATGGAAAGTTAAGCGCTAGCCTGTTAATTGAAACTCCCCGAGTTTTGAAAGCACATCATAACACCCGTCCCCAGGCTGTTTACATAGTTAAAGAGTAGTAAACCCTCCTATTTATCTGCAGTGTGTAGCCTAATTAGCTAATGTAACATTAAGCTAGCTGAGTGTGTGAGTGTGCATGTGAGCTGGGTGAATAGTAGGAAAGAAACAGTAACATTAACATAAAATGTGAATGTAGGTGCATACAGTATCTCACAAAAGTGAGTACACCCCTCACATTTCTGTAAATATTGTATTATATCTTTTCATGAGACAACATTGAAGAAATGACACTTTGCTACAATGTAAAGTAGTGAGTGTACAGTTTGTATAACAGTTAATTTACTGTCCCCTCAAAATAACTCAACATACAGCCATTAATGTCTAAAACATAGGCAACAAAAGTGAGTACACCCCTAAGTGAAAATTTCCAAATTGTGCACAAAGTGTCATTATTTTGTGTGGCCACCATTATTTTCCAGCACTGCCTTAACCCTCTTGGGCATGGAGTTCACCAGAGCTTCACAGGTTGCCACTGGAATTCTCTTCCACTCCTCCATGACGACATCATGGAGCCTGTGGATGTTAGAGACCTTGTGGAAGCTCCTCCACCTTCCGTTTGAGGACGCCCCACAGATGCTCAATAGGATTTAGGTCTGGAGACATGCTTGGCCAGTCAATCACCTTTACCCTCAGCTTCTTTAGCAAGGCAGTGGTCGTCTTGGAGGTGTGTTTGGGGTCGTTATCATGTTGGAATACTGCCCTGCGGCCCAGTTTCTGAAGGGAGGGGATCATGCTCTGCTTCAGTATGTCACAGTACATGTTGGCATTCATGGTTCCCTCAATGAACTGTAGCTCCCCAGTGCCGGCAGCACTCATGCAGCCCCAGACCATGATACTCCGACCACCATGTTTGACTGTAGGCAAGACACACTTGTCCTCGTACTACTCACCTGGTTGCCGCCACACATGCTTGACACCATCTGAACCAAATAAGTTTATCTTGGTCTCATCAGACAACAGGACATGGTTCAAGTAATCCATGTCATTAGTCTGCTTGTCTTCAGCAAACTGTATGCAGGCTTTTGTGTGCATCATCTTTAGAAGAGGCTTCCTTCTGGGACGACAGCCATGCAGACCAATTTCATGCAGTGTGCAGCGTATGGTCTGAGCACTGACAGGCTGACCCCCCACCCCTTCAACCTCTGCAGCAATGCTGGCAGCACTCATACGTCTATTTTCCAAAGACAACCTCTGGATATGACGCTGAGCATGTGCACTCAACATCTGAGGTCCACCATGGCGAGGCCTGTTCTGAGTGGAACCTGTCCTGTTAAACCGCTGTATAGTCTTGGCCACCGTGCTGCAGCTCAGTTTCAGGGTGTTGGCAATCTTCTTATAGCCTAGGCCATCTTTATGTAGAGCAACAATTCTTTTTTTCAGATCCTCAGAGTTCTTTGCCATGAGGTGCCATGTTGAACTTCCAGTGACCAGTATGAGAGAGTGTGTGAGCGATAACACCAAATTTAACAGACCTGCTCCCCATTCACAACTGAGACCTTGTAAAACTAACGAGTCACATGCCACCGGGGAGGGAAAATGGCTTATTGGGCCCAATTTAGACATTCTCACTTAGTGGTGTGCTCACTTTTGTTGCCTGCGTTTTAGTCATTAATGGCTGTGTGTTGAGTTATTTTGAGGGGACAGTAAATTTACACTGTTATACAAGCTGTACACTCACTACTTTACATTGTAGCAAAGTGTCATTTCTTCAATGAAAAGATATAATACAATACAGAAATGTGAGGGGTGTACTCACTTTTGTGAGATACTGTATGTAATGCGTTAGTATGAACCACATTATGTAATGAAATATAAATTATGCACAGAAGAGCTTTTGAATCTTGTGTAGATTATTTAAGTTACATTTTGCCGGTTATAGTGACATGAATTTATTTATATTTTTACAGCCTAAGGCCAAGAAGAAAATGTCCTTAAAAGTCCCTAAAGATGACTCGATGACAGAGGTGACCAAAAATGACCTGGATGGTAAATGTTTCTTTGTCAACTTTCAAGTAACTTTAATACTTAAATAATTAGTTTGTCCAAATGTGTTTAAACATCTGAAGTCCTCTATTCATATGTTGATTTTGTTGTACCTATGCCATACTGTAGGTCCTGAAGATAAAGGAAGCTCTGCTCCAAGTTGCAGCAAAGCAGCATTGGATCAGGTAATGATTTCTCATTTTCTAGCAGTGTATCTTTGTTGTCTAAAATTACAGAGTTTCATTTATTGCTAGTGATTTTTCTGTCTGAGATTAAAGTTGTTGGCAGATTTTGTCAGTATACATGTGCTTACAAATCAAGTTAAGGCACACACCATATCTGGTCCACTACCTTTGTTGCATGCATGTCATTCTCTCTTTCTCTCTCTCACACTCACTCACTCACTCACTCACTCACTCACTCAATACTGTCAAATCATAATCTTTTTTGTATCCTGCTCTCATTTTTGTTTTTAAGGATCAATCTCCAAAGTGGAGTTCCTAGAAGCCAGGATCCAATGGCAAGAAAAAATAATAAAGGATCTTGAGCAATTATAAATTAAATATGAAAGATTAAATGTAAATGTGCAAAAACAGAGCCGTAAATTAAATATGAACGATTAAAGGTAAATGTGCAAAAACAGAGTAGTAAATGGACAGTATTGACATAAGTTAAAGTGCATGAGTGTAGACATATTATAAGCAGAAACTATACAATACAACGGTGAGTAGACAGCCAAATGAAGTGAACATGAGTGCAGGGATAATTTGTAAATTTAACATGTGCAGAACAGATTACAGTATGGAGAGACAGATATTATCATGATGACAGTTCTCTGCTCGCATGAGGTGAGCTGTTGTACAGAGTTATGGCCTTCGGTAAGAAAGATTTCTTGTATATGTCCTTGTGACAGCGGAGTTGTATCAGTCAAATGACTAACGTGGACATCTTGTTATACATTAGTAAAGATTTCACTAATAAGGAAATAGGCTACTTCCTTGTGTAGTCATTGTGAAGTTTTCATTTCAACTTGCAAGAATTTTACTATCTGTAAAATGATGAACAGGACACAAACTGGCGCTGCACATGAGACACTTTAACAAGGCAGACAAGTGCAGATAACAGACACACGAAGTTCTGTTGGGGCTTTACTTATATATGAAACTACACATGCTTTTGGCTATTTACTGCAAGAAACTGAACAAAGAACCACACTGACTGGGAGGATGTTGTGTCTGAAGATGAAAAGACTTTAAGAGTTCTACTTTTATAATTTTCACGCAGGCTGGTCTCGAAACTTTTAATTTACAAATTTAATCTCGTAAATCTATGAGTTTAATCTAGAAATTTTAGATTTTTTTTACGTGGCACTAGTCCTCCGTCATAGTAAATAAGAGCAGAGTTTATTTGCAAATAACTTTTAAGAGATTTATTTCAAACACATTTTTTTGGTCTTTTTTTTACTTAAACACATACTTGTGATTTTAAGAAATAACAGAGTAACCACCAAACAAATAAAAATATATGATCAGGTTCATATTTATTCTCAGGACTGTTTGCACTTCCTTTTCTTTTCAATTGTATTTGTTATAAGACCACAACACTGACATTTTAAAGTTACCAGATCTCACCTGAATGAAGTCCCAGCACCAATGTCTGATGTTTCTCTGCAGCCGAACAGTCTAAAGTGATTCAGATAAGTGATGGCACACACTTGGTCACTGATAATATAACACACCTCTTCTAGGGAAGTGACAAAAAAAGAGTCAGGCATGATTATGTGTATAGTGAGGGAGGAAGAAACTGTTTGAAATAAGAAAAGCCGATACCTTCTTTACATTTGAGAACTAGCAGAAGTAGTTCTGTTAGAATTAGTTTTTGTTTTTTTTGTGTCATGTGTGGAGCCCATAGTAATGTCGAGCATGTTTATGGACACTGGCAGCCCCCATTCTCATGTTTATTTTTGATATTTGTATATTAACTTGTTCAATCAGTATGCTATTGTTACATGGCCGGCAGCCTGAGACCTCACTCCCTTTTTGATTTGTTTCCCTGTAGGTAATCACCCAATGAACATCACCTGCTTCACCCAGCCACTGGATGATCAGCAGCTGAGAGGCTCCATATAAGAACACACCAGCTCTGCAGCGGGAGCTCTCTGTCAGTCTTGCTGTGGCTCATTGTGTTGAAAGATTTGTGGTGAGGTTGGACTAGGTAAATTGGGGTTCCCCTACATTTGCTACACATACATAGTTGACTTTGTTGGAAACACTAGGTAAGTCTGGTTTGTGCCACCTATGTAGTTTTCTCTGAATATTTTTAGAGAAGGAAGTTAGGTTTGTGTTCGGATTTCTTTTTCATGAGATTAGAGACTAGTGTAACCCAAGGTTCCGTTTTTGGATACTGTGCACAGATATGAATAAAGTATAAACTTCAATCAAACCTCTATACTGCCAATGAGAGGAATTTCAGCTTGGACCAGCCCATCAGAAGTTAAGTTCGTTCAGGAGAAAATGGATACCGACCAGACACAGGTGAAACAAGACACAGACGCGGGATCAATTGAAAGGTAAGTACAATTTAGAACATTTATTCTCTTTTTTTTCCACTTTAGTTGGTTTACCAGTTAGACTATTCCTGTTTTCCTTTCACAACACAGACAAACATTAGACAATATTCAACAATATGATCACAATAAAACCTTTGTTTTGATCTTTTTGGGGGTCCTGGTCCTATTACTCTATTATTCCTATTAAGTTTAAAGCTGTTTACTTTATGGTACTTTTGGTGTTATTATTATTTTTAGACCTTCTTAATACTAGTTTGTTTTGATTAATTTTTTAGATATTATGGGGGTTAGTCGATTTACTATTTTAGATCTTTTATTTTGAAATCAGGACTTTTATTTTGAAACCTAAATTCGTTCTATAATGGCATTAAGGAAACTCATCACTGTAACCCCAAATATTACTAGATCCCCAAATCACAAGATGGACAACAATAATTCCCAAAAAAAAAAAAACAACAAAGATGTACTCGGGTCCTTATTGTTGTTTAAACCACTATATCAAAGTCTATAGTCCTACCACCAACGTAGTTGGGAAAATAAACTGTTTCTTCCTTTCAGGGTTCGAAAATGGATGGATGGCTGACATGCAGACAAACAGGGATCATGGAATCTTTCTTCTCCAACTCGCAAAAAAAACCCGGCCTTGACAAGAACAGTTAAAAGCCTAATTAATGCTTTAACTTTAAATTACACATTAAATATCAACAGCGTTTGTCATCTATGACAAAGGACTCAGATGAAATACAATGTAAAACACACTGTATGCCACATTCTTTTCAATAAACAAATTTAACACCAAATCATTTGTCATCTTATTCAGATTAACGTATATTTAACATAGTTAGCTTGATCATTAGATTACAGCGCTTGTACTCTCATTCATAACCATATGTAAACAATTCATTTTTTTGTGATCGGTGCCACTTGAACATGCTACAAACAATAGCAAGTCCACCGCCAAAACCACAGCCTGCACGCAGCCTGCAGCTTCAACGATGAGCCTCTCACTGCCTGCTACCTCCAGTCACAGCACATCAAAGCCGCTCTGAACGTTCCACTCACGAGCTAACAAACTAACTAACGGTAGCTAATGTTAGCATTTATTTCGCTCACACACATTACTATCAAGTCTTAAATTAAATTTGACTTACCAAGGGTTTAGTTAAAGAAACGGTGCTCTTTGGAACATGTAACAAGGAACACAAATCACTTCAACAACTTTTTCTCATGTAAAGTAACTCCACGCAGCCACCGTCACTCCGTCTCATTCCAAAAATAACTACTCTCGGAGATTCTGCTCAGACATGGAGAAATGTGGGCGGGTCTTGTTTTAGATTGGCTAATTTAGTCAAAATGACATTAAGATTGACAGGTGGTTTGACCGATCACATGTTTATTAGCATTTATACACAAAACAATATTTATCAAAGCACTTTTGTTACATTAAAGCTGACGTTTTACAGATAATTTTAGTTTAATTGTCTAATTAATAACTGTTTTGTTACTTGTTACATCAATTTATTACACTGTTTTCAATATTTAAATAATAAAAGTGAGAAGATAACGGCACTAGTAACCCTGGGTTACACTAGTTAGGTCTGGTTTTGTTTTGTTGAGTTTATTTATTTGGCACAACCACTTTGTCCAATCCTCACCCCCACGTTGTTCATTAAATTCAGTTTTGTGTTTTTGATTGCAACGATTCGTTGGCTGTGTCAGTTTCTTTGGTTGTCTGCTACTTCTCTGCTGGTACCAGGAAAGTAAAAGCTACATACATTCTTGTACAAAGGCACCTGTAGTATTTGAGTAGGTTTTTGTATGTGGTTAAAGTTGAGAAAGTCTCACACGGGTACTTTTGGGGAAGCATAGGGGTCTTTGATGCCATGTGTAATTTTCGTCGACCCAGATGTCCGGTAATATGCAGCCACGCTGAATTGATGTGCTTGTGTTTCTGTGTTTCTCCGAACCTTCAGGCGGACGGCCTGGAGGCCGACCAAACACTGAGAGCAGATCAGGAGGGCGGCCGGGACGTTGACACGGGACCAGTGACAGGCCGGGCCTCCCAAGGAAACACAGGAGTAGGCGGAGTCAGCAGGACCTTCGCTAAGGGTGCAGGAGTCAGGAGCAAGATCTCCAACACAGGAGTGGGCAGGACCGCCGACGGGGAGCCAGGACTCTGCCAGACCGCTGAGGGGGAACCAGGACTCTGCCAGACTGCTGAGGGGGAACCAGGAGTCAGATGGACCGCCGATGGAGAACCAGGGTGAACATCCTGAGGCAGAGACTCTGAGGTGCTGGGCAGTGATGAAAGGAGAGGGTGATGGGTTCCGTGGTTTCCAGTCTTCCAGACTTGTCTGGCCTCCACGAGTCCCAGGAAAAATGGCCAGGCGGGTGTTGGTCCAAGGAGACTGCTCTCACTGTTTGCCTATGGACCGGCCTGTCGGCAGCAGACGTCTCGCCGCTATATTTATATTTTTTCACCATTATCAGCTTTCTCCAAAGAGCCTGTTAGCATAGCTTCCAAGCAATATGGCGGACATTAAGTTTCGATTCTGGGAGTGAGTTCCCACCCACTGATCTGTGATTAGTCTGTAGCTTCAGTGGTCGAAAATATAAGGAACACAAAGCAGAAACACAAAGCAGGGTGGGTGGAGGGGGGACTCCGAACCGTCAGGCGGACGGCCCGTGAGGTCATAAGCAGGTTGGGGCTCCCAGACCGCATAGCCTCAGATAATGGGAAAGAGTTTGTGGATAGAACAGTAAGATTAATACTGCAAAAATTGAGAATTAAACAACGTCTAGGAGCTGTTTATCATCAATGCCAAGGTGTGTGTGAAAAAATGAATGGTGTGTTAAAAAACCGCATCGTTAAAATGTGCCAACACACAGGTCTGAATTGGGTAGAGGCGCTTCCGTTGGCGCTAATGGTGTGTCGTTCAAGTGGGCTCCGTGATTTGCGCATGACACCCCATGAGTTGGCAATGAGTAGACAGATGCCAAAACCTTGTTTGCACACAAGTGGAAAGGGTCCAAGTTTAGCCCTGTTAGAAGATGAAATGCGAGTGTATGTTATTTATATGGCTGCTTTGCATAAGAGAATATACACATATGTCTCTGACAGGCAAAAACAAGAGGAGTTGCAAGAGAGACTTGATGAGCAAAAGAGGAACACAGTGCAACCTGGAGACAAGGTGTTCATGAAGATGTTTAGGAGGAAGTGGTTTAACGAACGCTGCGAAGGACCATTTGAAGTTGTTCGCAGTACAGGAACTGCAGTCCAGGTTAAACGGTCTCCTAACTGGTATCATTTATCGCATTGTGTTAAAGTGCCAACAGAAGAGGCGCCACGATCACAGAACCGAGATGTTGAATGCTCAAGAGAGCCAACAGAAGCTGTAGAAACAGCAGAGGTTCATGAGGACCTCCAAGGTCAAGAGCCAGAAGAAGGGATTGACTATGTTGTGGGTATGCATGATGATTTTGAGCACACTTTTGATGATGCCAGGGATGACTTGTCAGTCCATGAGCAAGAAAGACGATTTTGGTGACATTGATTGACAACATGTCCCAGAAACGACAGAGTCTATTTCCTGAGAGTATGAGTCTTCAAAGACTCCAGAGGGCTGTGATGCCTCTCCAGGAAAATCCACAGACCCAGTTGGACCAAGGAGTCCAAGGCCAACCCGAAGAAAGGTTAGACCAAAACGTTACAAGGACTAGGGTAGAAGTGACTTTGGGAAAGTCAGTTCAACTCCCATGTCAGTGTTCAAAAGAAAATAACGGAAAAGGGGAATTCCGAGTCCAGTGGGAAGATAGATTGATTTATCGGGGATATCACCACTAGAAAAGTATGTGTTGCTTAATGATCGAAGAAGGTTGAAGATTGAGGGAGACTGTAGTCTTTATCTACGTAGATCCCAGGTTGAAGATGAAGGTGACTATAAGTGTTCTTATTATGATCCAAAATTAGTGAAGTAAAATTGCAGAGCCCCTGGTTGTTGAAGTAGGAGAACTGACAACTACCATATCAACTCTCCCGCCAACTGAGAAAATGAAGCAGACATCCACCTCTTCAAATCTGAAGGTTACTGATTTTTACTGTTACTGCGTTTAACTACAGCTGCGTGTCCGATGATTTCTACAACTCAAATTCCTGTGAACATTATGATTAGAGTTACGTTAGGAAATTCAGCTTACCTTCCATGTAAATGTGGAAAATTGAATAATTGTGGTAATAATTCCCCTATTTGGAAAAATGCTCGTGGTGAAGACATAGTGCTAACAGGACCTGACGTTAATAGTGTGCCTCATGATCGAAGAAAGTATATTTTGTATAATCACATAAGGTTGTTTAGAGTTGTAGATGACTGTACACTTATCTTAATTAATGTTACATGGGAAGATCAAGGAGAATATACATGAACTTATTTGGATCCAGAGTTTAAATTTGTACCATATCACAATTATTGGGTAGAAGGGTATAGAACTCATAAAATAATGCTTGTGGTAAAAGGCCTGGTTCCTATTGAAGTAATTACGGTGGCTAAAGAGGTTCGAAAGCAACTAGTCAGTAGCTCAGAGAATAACTGGTAGTGTTAACGTATCAACTTTGGTTACTACCCTAGCTACGACTTTGGTAGAAAAGGATGTTACAACAGCGATGATGACAATTTCTACGTCTGTTACTCCTAGTAATTTTACAAGTGAGGTTGTGAAGATGGGATCCACTACCAATAAAACAATGACAAGCTCTTTGGTGTCTACAAAGTCTGTAGGTATGACGTTGACATCTGTTATTACATCTCCATTATTTAGTTGGTAAATATAACTCAGAAGTGTATGTTAGAGTTGGAAGCTAGTTTGAATAAGAGCAGGGAGAGATCAGAAATTAGGGAACCAATTGCTGAGAAGACTGATATGGATTCAGCTGAAACAGTCCAGATGACTATGTCGGATGTGGTCGATGATTTTATAGATGCTGACGGAACATCAGAAGGCATGACTAAACATCTTCATGCATTAGAGAAGCGAGAAACCCAGTGGAAAGCTTATGGGTTTGATTCCCCAGTGTTGCAAATTGCAGACCCGTGGGTCTCACAGTGGAGATGGTATATTTATGGGACTATCAGAATGTGATAACTATATGATGCAATTTGGACAACGTGATTAAAGGGCTGTTGATGACACGTGTACAGTGACCTTTCATGCACCACATCGCCGACAGAGTAAAACTCTAAGCGTAAAGAATCAAACTTTACCAGATAATTTTACCATAGGAACATTTAAAGGTATTTGGTGGATTTGTGGTGATATGGCATACTTATTTCTACCTTATGGTTGGGTTGGATGTTGTTATATGGCACAGTTGAAAGTTCCGTATGATGTTTTTGTTATTCAGAAGGGACAAGGGATCTACAAAGATCTCTGGAAGTAGAAAGAAAAGAGATTTGGTACAATTTCACAATTTGGAGGCTTATCATTGGAGGATAAGTTTGGGAGAGAAATGGGGTATAGGATTGTTTCCATGGTACATTCTTAGCTGATCATATTTATAATATTACATATACCCTGCAAGGTTTTGCAAATGAGACCATAAGAGGTTTTGAATATTTGTCAAATACTCAGAGGAGTCATCGATTGACGTTGCTGAAACATGACATGGTTCTTGATTATATTTTGGACAAACAAGGTGGCCTCTGCATGGCTTTAAATTTAACCAGAGACGCCTGTTATACTTTGATCCCTGATGCCGCCGACAACAGCGTCATAAATGTGTTGAAACTTATAAGGGATTCGTTTG